AAAAAAAAAAAAAAAAAAAAAAAAAAAAAGTCCACAGGCCATCCCCAGAATCTGTGCCCTTTTCCAGCCTTGCTTGTTGAGCCATCTCCGAAAGCTGAACCCCTCCCTGGTCTTTGCCATTGTCCCCACAGTGAGGATGCAAGGCCTGGTGATGCTGAACACAGGCATGGAAGCCAGGAGTACGAGGGCGAGAATGCCAAGAGCTCACCGAGTAGGCACAGAAGGCCACCTCTTAGGGCAGGCCCTTGTGGAGCCCAAGGCAGAAGCTGCCCCAATCTTTGTGACAGGAGGAAATGCCTGGCCCTAGAAGAGGCTCTGGAAAAGGTGGCTCTCTGAGTGCATACAGGCTTTGTCTGAAAAAGTACCGTGATTCCATGGGACAGATAAAAGCCATCAAACAGAGCTTTATAGACTGCTCTGGAACCATCTTCAGAAAGCAGCATAACCGCATGCCTGGAATGCTGCATCTGTACAAACAGACGCCAAACAGATGACACTGAAAGGCTATGTCAGAAACTGGTAAACAGTGATGGCCTCTAAGTTTTTAATTTTTTTGCTGTGCTTTTACATGTCTGGCTTTAAATATATGCACGTAAGTGCATGTGCGTAACTGTCTAAAAATATTTTCTCTGAAGCAGGTAGAGGTGTCACTGCTGGGGTGCAGGGGATGTGGCCAGGGCTCCCCGAGGCAGACTTTCTCATCCCTGCCTCACATCATGATGTAAAAGGCTCCTGCTGCTGACAAAGCACTCCCAGCCCAGGTAACAAAGTGAGCTACACTTACAAGTCTGTCTCTACCTTCCCAAACATTCTAGCATGTTTCAGGTCAGGGGCAGAGTTTGCAGAGAAAGGGCGGAGGGAGCTCCCTGGAGAGAGAGAGAGGTGAGGCAGAAGAACCTAGAGCTTTGGTGTGGGAGCGTCCATTTACCCGTGTGTGAGGAGGGGCAGAGCCAGCCTGGGGACGGGGAAGTCTGGTCTTCTGTGCCCTCTACACTTCCCGCACTCCCAGAAACCTTCCTCATACTCATCCCTGCCCTAGACCCAATCCCTCCTGAACGTGCACTGGATGTGAGTGTTCATCCACGCGGATGGAGCCCTCTTGGTTCATGTAGATAACCGTGTCTGTATTTCCATCTGTTTCTGAGTGTGTGTTTGCGCTACTGTTTCTGCTGCTGTATCCTGATACTGGATTTTCATGTAACTGTGTACAAGAGGTGGTAGAGCACAGTGATTGGAACTGCTGGGCTGCAAGGACGGACCCCAAGTTTTCTTCTCCAACCTACCTGGGCACAAGGTGTGGCCAGATATATCAAAAACAAAACAAAACAAAACAAAACTGCAGTATACACAGCTGAATTGAAATTTAGATAACAATCAATAACTTTTAGCATAAATAGGTCCCCATGCAACATCTGAGATATATGAGTATTTAAACTAGAAATTTATTTATTGTTCATCTAAAATTCAAATTTAACTGGAGGCCCTGTAGCCTCCAGAACAGGATATGGCTTCCTGCTGCCGCTGATGTTAGGCACAGCTGTGTGATTTGCTTTGGCCTGTGGAAAACGGGGACATCACCAAGTACCAGCTTTGCGCTGAGGCTCTGTGGGCTGTGGAAGCATCGTGAGTTTCCTCACAGCCCACTGTGCTCCTACCCTCACCATTGGAGAAGCAGCAGCTCCTGCATCTTCAGCCCAGCTCTGACCCTCAGCCCAGCTCAGCCAACCTGTAGACCCATGAATGAGAGCTGAATGTTCATTGTTAAAAGTGCCTGAGACATTGAGGGCATTTATTGCCAGAACAAAAGTCACCTTGTATGTTAACTGTATGACCTCAGACCGATCATGTAATCTCTCTGTTGGTTTCCTTGTCTATAGTCTACTCACAGAGTGGTTATGAAGGTTCATTCGATGCAGGTGAAGCCCTTAGAGAAGGGCCTGGCACACAGTAAGGGCTGCAGTTATCATCTTGGAGGGACATAGTTTTTTTTCCTACCCAGGTCTGTATGTGTGTCTGCATCTGGAGCCAAAGTGGACCAGAAAGTATAGACGATTGGTATAGATGATGGCGACCAAGTAGACAAACATGAAGGAGCCCTATAACCCCCTAGGCCTTCATGGAACTGGGACAGAGGAGAGGAGTTCGCCTACTCACCTGTTGGGAATAGCAACCCAGCTGAGGAGGCACAGCTTGCTGATAGGGCATCCTCGGTGACTGCTGCGGGTACACGCCCTAGGGGGAAAGACGCAGGCTTAGTGCTGCTGGGCAAGGGTTGCCGGCCAGAGGCTGAGCTGGGCAGGTCCATCTCTCCTGTCCATGTGCTGGATCTGCAGTTGGGGTCGAGTTTATCTCAGCACACTGTTGACCACAGCTGGAGTCAGGCTGTGGCAAGCACAACTCATGCTTCGGAGAAGCCTCCTGGGAGCATGAGGATAAGAGCTTTAGGAGTCTGACTATATCCTGGTTTCTAGATCTGCTTCTGAGTGGCTCTGTAACCTTCAGCAAGTGGCTTCATCTCTCTGAGTCCCTTTTTCCTTACCTGCAGAATTGTGCATTCAGGCCCACAGAGCCTGTGAAAATAGCTACATTATCTTAGTTGCTGTCTGCATAACTTTTGTAAATATCTTTCCCCCATCTGCTGCACCGCACCTGAGTGTGTGTGTGTGTGTGTGTACACATTTGTACACCCATGCTTAAATCCACCTGCATGCGTGTTTGCAACTGTGTCTACGTGTTTCTACTACATGTGCCAATTCCCAAAGTGTGCAGCTTCGACCCCAGGCGTGTTAGTTTGAGTTTCTGCTGCTCTGGGTCTGTGTGCATGCACATTCCTGTGTCTGTAGCTTGTAAGGATGGACAGTGTGAGAAAAATGAGTTAATGCATGTAAAGAGCTGAGAACAGTTTCCGGCACATAGTAAGGACTCTGTAAATGTTAGGTCTGTCCGTCATCTCTTACTGCACCCTCCCTTGAAAAGGCTCTCTGGCAGGCAGCTCAGCCAAATGGGAAATGGAAACTGTATTCACAGCTCTCTCTGGGGGCATATGGGGCATGCATTTGTCCACACACAGACACAAGACACACACACGCACACGCACACATACACACGCACGCACACTGTGAAACTGTTGCGGGTGAGCCAGCCCATGACTCCTCCAGTCTCAGACTATGCCTCTAACTGCCAATCCAGAGGTCCTCTTACAAGGAGGCTCAAAGGCCAAGGCAGCTGTCAGCCCGGGACATCTCGGAATATTTTACACCCTAGTCATGTGCCGCCCCGTTCTGGGATGGCTTGTGCCAATTGCCAAAGTAGTGACAGCTTTCTTTTCATTTCCTCGCAGTCCATGGCTCCTGAAAGCCTCCAGAGCCTCCGACCCGAAAGTCCTCCTAACTCTCCTAGTGGCCCACCTTTGTGGATCCTCAAGAAAGAACAGCATCCAGGCAAGCCCCTCGCTGTTCTCTGCTCTCTGCTCTCCACTCTGGGGCTCGCGTCATTTCACACCTTTCAGTGCCCAGTGCTTCCTCCTCCAAGCCCTTCACCTGAAGCCAGCTTCCTTCACTCTGAGCCCTGCAACCAGAGCAGCCTCACTCACCATGGCGACCCCATCTGGCCCCTGTGACACTGGTAGAGCCTGGATAAAAATGCCCCACAGAGGGGTGACCTTGTACATTTCCAGCCCTCAGTGGGCTACAAAGCCACTGGGCAGTTTGCTGAGTGCCCCCCTTGTTTTACCCCTTTCTGATCTCTTTAGCACTTAACTCTGGCCACCACAGCCACTTTCCCAGGGCCAGAGAAGAGCAGGGAGGCCTCCATGGTCCCCATGTGTCCTGTGCTAGGCCACTCTGGGATCGGGATGGGGACACAAACAGTGCCATCCCTGCTCCATCCTTGAAGGTGACATTGCCACGTTCATCAGTATGAACAACCCCATTCAGCTTTAAGAACATTTCCAGTTGTTAGAATTACAATTTTGCAAAATCCCAAGCAAGGATAAATAAACATTCACTCTTCTTTGCTTGAGGCCATAGCCCTTTCCCCCGAACAGCCTCTCTCTTTAATCGGGAGAGGCATTCTTTTATGCCAAACAGCTCTGGAGTTGCCAGAGCACCTCAGTGTTGGGGACCTTGTCTTCCCATTTCTCAGTCTGTCCACCACAGAGCTCCAGGCACATTGGATTTGGGACCTCATTTTTATTTCTAATGCCGAACTGGGAAGAGACCAAGATAGACAGACCCGGTTCTAGGTCCACAGAGCTCCCTGACCCCCTTCTCTTGGAAGATCACAGCTGAATAATAATAAAAGTCAACATCTATACCACACTTTTCCATCCATGGAATCAATTAATCTTTCCAACCAAAGCAGCTGCTGTAATTATGATGAGCCCATTTCACCAACGGGAAGCTAGGACTCAGAACAGTTAACTCACTTATCCAAGGCCACCAACAACGTGGAAGCAGCAGAGTCCTTATACCCAAGTCTACAGATTTCAAAATCTCCGTTCTCTCTATCATCCCAGGGCCCTTGATCATCTGTCTTGAAGCTAGGCAGCGTTGTGAGACTGAGAAGTCCAGAGAGGGTAAATTATGCTGCCTTTCGTTACTATGTGGGAGAGTCAACTCCGTTTAGAGCTGACTTCAGTAGGGCCACTTTATAGAGTCAGCGGTTCCTTCAGCCAGGCCCTTATTCTGCTTCTGTCCACAAGCTGTGGAGCCTCATTATGGTCACCCTACAATACAGACACCAGCGTTTCTGAAGACAGGGGAACTTCATGCTCAGAAAACCCATCTAAATCTCACCCCAAGAAGTCAACTAAGAAGGAATTAACATAGCAAAGAGAGACCTTCCCTACTTTATACAGTAAACCACTGCCAATTAGCCTTACATGGTGAACTCTCTGTGTTTTAGAGTGAATGCATTTACACTAAATAAAATTATTCAACTGTTTCTTTTTTAAAGGTTGAAATACTTTCTCTAGGTCTTTGACTTGTTCCAAAACTTGCACTAGACTCCAGATTTGTCATCTTTGAATCTCTTTACCTAGCATAATGCTCAGGCTATAGTTGAGTGAATGACTAAATAAACAAATAGAAATTATATGTGAATAAATAAATAAAAGCAATTCAGTGAGTAGGTAAATAGACAGTGAATATGCAAACCCTCAAATGCAAGGGTAGACATATAATAGTGACAGAATCAGTGAGTCAATGAATAGGACATTTCTGTCAAGACTTGTGTAAAAATAATAATATTAATGTGAAGCTGATACACTTTTATTACAATCTCTAGCTTTCATTGCAGGCATGAGGGTTTTTGTACCTGGGCAGAGAGTGGTACTTAGTCTCTTTAGCAAACAAACAAGCTTAAATACAAAAACTGAAGAACCAGACTTTGCTAAGTTCCTTTAAGATTCAGGAGCTACTCGTGATGGACCTACTTAGAGAGCCTTTGTATGCAATAGAGAAAATTCTCCCTTCTGCACAGGACATCTAAGCCATAAGCCTGTTGCTCTTGTAGTAGAGGAAATGACACAAGGCACCAAGGGGTAGTGAGAGGGGAAAGGTCCTGGAGAATCACAGTCCATATGTTGGGCCTATTTCCTCGTCTGTTTTCCTTTCCAGGCATTGCCCAGCCAGGCTGGGGCAGCAGATGGCCAAAGTCTTGGACATGTTAGTCTAAGTTCTTGTACTTCCCCACAAAACTGCCTGCCATTCTGGAGAGGATCCAGGAAGGTGAGCAGAGACTGAGAAATCTTACATGCTGAGTACCTCTCCTGAAAAACCTGAGCACTACCTAAAGGGACTGTTTAAGTTATTGGATTGAACCAAGGCTTAAACTAGAGTGGACATTTATTTGATTCTTCCCTCCTTCTGCTGAGTGGGCTGCGGCGCTTAAGGGATATTAAGTTAAATGGACAAATAAAAAAACTACATTTTCCCTGTATAACTAAGTTCTGTGTGGCAAATTTCAAACCCTGCTATAAGTGCTTCACTGTTCCTTTGGGTCTGGACACTACTTCCCTCTTAGCTAGAAGCCAGAGGCCAAGAACTAACTCTAGACTTCGTGGATGTGGTTCAGATAAGGTGGCCATAATTGATCATCCAAACTGTGCTGCCTGGAAGTGAAAGGAGGTTACCATAAATAATTCTTCTTGGACAGAAGACCTAAGCTGGGATTGTCCTACGTAATCCAGTATGTATGCCAGAAGAGTTACAGGAAGCAGGTGGCAACAAGGACCACAACAGCCTCCTATCTTAGGAGCCAAGCACTTTACCAGCCAAAGATAGCAAAGAGCTCTGGATTAAACAGCACAGTGTGAACTAGAATTCAAGTAGTGGAAAATTAGAAAGGTATATGTGCATGTGTGTGTAAAACTAGTGGCTGTTTTGATATGGTCACAGAGAAAACTGTAACAGATGAGGCCACACATTGACGGTGTCTTACTGCTGTCCCCATGTTGTCTCTGGAGAGTTCAGATGGCTTTCAAAGGGAGTCCAAGGATCTTTGCACAATTGGCTTCCTATAAGCTACCCCTCGTTCACTCCCCAGAACCCGCAGGGAGGCGGATACTCCACCACAGTAGGCAGAACCAGAGCTGCCCACTTACCTGATACTGTGGGAAGGCAGAATGATTGGTGAACACTGGTGGAGGCGGGCAGTTCAGGTTGAGCCAGAGTGGCTGGTTCATGTTGGCTGAGGTCAAGGCTCTGGCAAAGCGTGGGGCGAAAACATTCCCTGTGTGCTTAAGGTTGTTCTTCTCTGTAACCATTACCTGTGGGTTAACTGTAAGTCACAAGAGAGGGAAACCTGTTCAGTGATGGAGGCAGGGAGAGGGCAGAATGCCTCCAGAGCCATCCCTGGAGATATTCATTCTCAGAGGTCCGGCTGCCTCCGCTCCAAGAGGTCCTGCAAAGTTCTAGTGAATTCCCAACTCTAGGGAACATCATTAGCTCATGCCTTGCCTATTTGAAGGAATGAAAACCCCAGCATAGCTTGATTTGGAGCTTCTCTTTCCACCTTCTTAATAAAGGAGGCAGGTTAGCAAGGGAAATAATAAACCAGGTTGCTATGGCTATATTTCACCTACAGTATTTACAAAATCAAATTCTTCCAAGTGCTTTAGAAAAATTTACCTTTATATAAACAAAAGGCATGCCATTTGGAATTCAAATGATTAAAGCAGCCCCAACCAGAGCTATACACTCAGCATGACTGAGAATGTTGCACAGGCTATTGTATAAATATTAGAATTTTCTTTTTTGTTGCAAGATCTCTCTAAATTTCCTAGGCTGACCTTGAACTTGAGATCCTCTTGCCTCAGCTTCCTGAGTACTGGGATTACAGGCAGGTAGCACTATGTCTGATTGAGAATCTTTCTTTTTTATTTTTTGGTTTTTTGGGACAGGGTCTCACTATGTAGTTGAGACTGACCTGGAACTCACTATGTAGCCCAGGCTGGTCTCGAACTCACAGTGATCCTCCTGCCTCAGCCTCCCAAGTGCTGGGATTACAGGCGTGTGCCACCACGTCTGGCCAAGAATCTTTCTTTTTTAATATTTTAAAAGATGAAATAATTCAGTGTGAAGTGACTTCTGTGTGGAGCCTAAAAGAATGAGGTTAGGTTGAGTTGTTTCCAGATATGAATCCCAGATTCTCCCCCTCTAAAAGATGTCCTGTGGATTTATGCACTGATAAGTGGGTCCTCAATTTCCCCTGTATTGGCATCTTTCTTGGAAAGGAGTTTTGATTGCAAAAGATGTAGGAGGGCAATGGAAACAAAAGAGGGACATAAATAATCTCAGTGTAGAAATAATCACAATCTAAATCATGAATGTTTTTGACTCGGGCAATAGGTGAAGCTATGTAGTCTAGGTCAGGAGTGTATTCCAAACTGGCCACTGATTGATAGTGCTCATGGGGCCCCTGAGAGGAACTGTGCTTCTCTAGCAAATGTATTCCTCATAAGGAAGATAGGGAAAAATTATCTCCCCATTTTATGGATTTAAAAATCCCAACACCCAAGGAAGAGCAGTGCCTTGGCTGTGGGTAGCACAGGGCCAATCCTCTACAGCCCCACCCTGGGTAGGGTAAGCTTACACTTCAGCTCCAGCCCATCCACCTCCACTTTGCTGCAAAGCTTCAGTTGCCCACTTGGGTTCTTGGTGGTCCCAAGGAACTCATAGAGCAGGTTCTTCTCAGCTGGCCATGCAGGCTTCTTGGTGGGCATGGTGCCCACAGGGTCTCTGTGAGTGTCCTCACCACAGACGTCCTTCTGGCTCTGGGGCCAATGACTGAGAAAGAGACTCTCTTGACTCTTGGTCAACTCCTTAATGCCAGGGTTCCATTCTACAGCAAGAGAAGAACTGAGTCAAATCCTCCAAATGCTAAGTGCTAGATGCAGGGGCTCACTTTCTCCTGGACTAAATGATGCCTCCTCCACAGCACATGCCTGGGGATTCTCACTTAGCCAAGTACAACCCCAGTGTCTCCCTGAAGCCTTCCTTGATCACTGCCTAATCTGGGCTTCCTGTCTCATGCAGCCACATCCAACCATCCATCCATGTTGATTTATCTTTCTTCCCTCCCTCCTCCAGCCTCCTTTCTGCCCTTTCTTCCTTTCCCTGTCCTCCTTTCTCTCCTGCCTTGTCTCCTCCCTTCCTTCCAGCCATCCACAGTGTCAGGCTGGGGTTATAAGGATAATTTGGACTCAGTTCTTGGATCCAGGGATCACAGGGCTTATGGAGGAGATACCCATCCCGATAGAACATGCAGTCAGAGCCACACAGCATGGTCCCTCATCATGGGCTCTACCTCTGCTGTATTGCTCAAAGGGAATTCGGCATCAGTGCCAGGCCCTGCCCTGGGTGCCAGGGACACTGTGATGAGTCAGAGCCAGACTCTGCCCTGCAAGATCTCACAACAACCAAGAAGAGAGAGAGACGTGCCAGAAATAGCTCCAGGACAAGGCAGATGGGCAACACGAGGTGACAGAGGAACAGAACAAGAGAAGATGCTGGCTGAGAAGGTCCATGATTCCCGGAATGAAGTAGGGTTTCAGCAAGGTCTTGCATGCAGGGTTGTCGGGAAAGAAGGTGCAACAGGTCTGTGCTCCAGTAGACAGACTGGGAAGCATCAGAGAGATGTGGTAAATGACTGGAACTGACTGTCATGTTCCCGAGGAACACAATCGGTACCAGACTCAGGTTTTGCTCCAAACAGATTGAGCACTTGTACCCAAGTGCAAGAACATTGTCTGTACCATGTTGAGGTTCTCCTCAGCAGTGCTTCCACCCACATGTCCTTTTAGCACCGGAATTGTTTCAAAAACTCTGTGTGTGTGTATAAGGGTGAATGGAAAATATTCTAAAAAAAATTGCACCTGTACTGAACATGTACAGACTTTTTGTTGTCATTATTTCCTAAACAATGCAGTAAAATAACTATTTACATAACATTTAGATTGTATTAGGTATCATAACTAATCTAGAGATGATTTAAAATATGTAGGAAGATAAGTACGTAGGAGGGTGTGCTCTGGTTCTATGCCATTTATGTAAGGACATGAGCACCTGCAGATTTTGGTATATTACCCTGGTTGAAGGGCCCTGTACCCCTGGCCCTCTTTACTCCTTTCCCTGTGTGATAGTCTCTAAAGTCTCCACTGAGGTTGACCATGAAAACCACTGACCACCGAATGGCTGTGCACTGTGCTGGACACACGTTAGGCACCTGGGAACTCTGGTCATAGACAAATCAGAGGACTTTGTACCTCAGTGCTACCTAAGCAGATTTGATCCCACTGGCTCTTGGGCCCCTAACTCAGTGGGGTCTCTGGGGCTGAGTCTGCCTGGGGCTGGTCCTGTCCTAGCACTATCCTGATGAAGAAAAGAGCTGTTTCAGCCTGGGCCAATTGAGGAGACAATGACACTTTTAGCAAAACATGTCCCTAGAGTCTCTTCCAAGACTTTCTCTAGTTGCTGAGTTTAGCCCCTAGCTAGTGTGCTGAAATAAAATACCAACTAATAATAATCCATTCCTCAGAGATATGCACACCTGCAACCTCTCTCATATACCTGCAGTCCCTTAAACATCTATAAGGCGCCCTCCTGAGTTCAGGGATGGGAGTGTGCATGCGCGCGCGCACACACACATACACACACACACACACACATGCACATGTACACACACACATTTCTGCCTGTCTCTCCTCTGCCTCACTCTCACAATCATAGTCATGACAGACACAGGGGCTGGCAAACCAATGCACACAGACTAATGCAAGCGCAGCACTCCTGTATTATCTAACAAATGCATTTGCACTGGCAATGTTTCCTTTGGCACACCATTGCTCAGGTGGAGAGGGTGGGTGGGCGAGATTACGTCCAATCTAACAGCCCCACCCAGCACAGAGGTATCCAAGGGGCTTTCTGGAAGAAAGGGGTAGGAGGAAGTTCCCAGCCCTTAAGGAAGGGTTTAGTCTCCCCCACTGTCATCCTGAATGGCTCCTCCAGGCTTGCCCAGCACTGGGTCCAGCTTGCTGCCCCTGACTCCAGATCTCTGGGCTCCCTACAATGCAGAATGTTCTTGCAGGTGACCTTGTTCTAGTTTTCTTAGGGAGATAGATTTGGGCCCTTCGGATACAAACGTCTCTCAGTTACCCATCCATGTACACAGTCTGGGGTGATTCTTCATTTGGTTGGCACGAGCATGATCGGTTCTCCTAGTGACTGCTGACTGAGGGTGAATGCCACTGCCATCAGTTTGTTTCCTTGGAACCACTCCGTCTGAGCGGTAAAATCACAACAAAAAGAAGAATGCTGGGATGCTGGTGGGGGATGGCTGGGGTTGGGAATGATTGCATTTCCTGAGAAGGATGGGGACTCCTCATTGAGGGGATGGGAAGGCACTTTTCTGAGCCCCTGCACCTGGATAACTCATGCACCCGCTTCCTGCACGCATGGAGAGAGGATCGGCCTCACGGACAGAGCGAAGGCCTTCATAGAAGCCAGTCAAGTCCTCCTCCTGGCCCTCTGAAAGCTCCCATGCTGCGTTGTCACCTAAAGCCTTCAGTGTGCACTGGATACCTGGTGGAGCCAGGAGCTGCACCACTTACTGCAGGCTCCACTGCGGGGTGCCTATCTCTCCCCTCAAAGGGGCTGGGACTGGGGCCTCTGCGCTTGCTCACACAACTGTGCGCCCTGTCCACATGTGTTCAGCAGAGGAGGCTGAGAACAGCCTGCACCTGGGAGCCTGTACCCACCAGAGAGGCTGCTTTGTCCTGCTTTGCACAAGGATACTTTGTGCACGCACTGCAGCCCTGCCTGGCTTCCTGGAGGCTCTCCCGCCTCCCGGCCCCACTCACCCATCAAGTGATGCCCCTCCGTGGTGGAGTCAGCTTCAGCCTTGGAACAGATCTTGGCAAACACTGGGAGTTGCTTCTTCTGGCCAGGGAGCTCAGCAAGCTTGTCTGGGGGTACAGGAGGAGGTGGAGGAGGCAGTAGCATGAATGGGCCCAGCCCCGTGGGCTCTTTGGGTCCAGAGCCACTAAAAATGCTGTTCTGCAGGAAGTCCTTGATGACTCTTGCCTCCTCCAGCACCATCTTGTTATCGGGGGCTTTGGACATATCTGTAGACTTCAGTGGAAACTGGGCGAAGAGCTTACTGATCTCCGAGTTGCAGTCACCCAGGCTGTGGCCCCCATCCTCGGTCCCCTTGGCACTCCTGAACTTGGCAGCACGCAGGATGCCTGTGACTGTAGACACAGCAGAATCACAGTCCTGCTGGCTGCCGATGATGGACATGGCCACCTTCTGCTCCTGAAGCCTGTCACCAGCAGTGAGGGAGGCTCCTGGGTACTCCGTGCTGCTTGCCACCAGGAGAGGAGCAAGAACACAAGGAGCCAGCTCTCTGGCCCCCTGGGGGTCATCGTCAGCAGCCTTCAGCTCCTCTGAGCTCTCTGGGACCAGGATGAGGTGTTCCTTGGTGAGGCTCAAGAATTCCTGCTCTTCCAGCAGGGAAATCTCATCTCTGCTCCTGCTGAGGTCCAGGGCTCTGCAAACAAGTCAGGGAGACAAGCAGTGTTAGTGCCGCCTCCCCCAGGGCGGCTCTGCTGCAGGACACATCCCCAGGGACAAGGGGTGGATGGATGCACGCCTGATGAAAACTACTTTCCTGGTAAGAAAGACCTGCTGCTTCCTTTGAGGAAGCAAAAAATGAACACTTCGTGAACTCCCAAGGGGGTTCAACACCACCCCACGGGGCACAACAGCATCCACACGTGTGTTGACGCACACACCCCTGGACAGAAACAGGCAGGCACCTGAGTCACACGTCACTACTCACAGAACTAGGGGTATAGCCTCACAGGTGACAATCTACGCAGATGAACACAGCTACAAACCTAAAATCTTCCTGGGGTCCCTGAATGAGCCCTTTAGCTCTTGGGTTCTGCTGAAGCCCAGGGATCCTAGGACGTGGGCTGGGGAGCGAGGAAATGTGGAGAACTGGGAGAATGCTGTACCGATGATACCTAGGGTGTGTGTCCACAGTCTCAACCCCAAGGCACCTGAACCTTCTGGCCTCAGCCCTTCGGTAACCTCCCATGCATGGAGGCAGAGTGGTGCCAGGAGCAAGCTGGCTCTAGCCAATCGGACGGGCTTGGAGCTGGGCACCACTCCTACGTCATGCCAGGCCCCAGCGCCTCAGGGTTCTTCCTGGGAAAGGGGTATGACGCCTAACAGCACTGCCCGTGGGGTGTCCTGCAGCATGTGGGAGGTGGCCCACAGGTGAGCTCACTCAGTAAACGTGGGCTGTGAGCATTAGTGGCCGCGGTTGGGGGCCAGGCTCCCGGAGGGCCCCCAAGGCTATGTATGATGCAGGGCCTGGGCCTGCTCTTGAGTTTCTCTTTCCCTCCTCTCCCTCTCTCCTGCCCTTCTCACTTATTTCCTTCCTTTTGCCTTACTTTCTCGTCTGGACTTAGGACTATAAATAGGCACCACTCTCACTGCTGTACCCCCAGGAACAATCAGGATAAAGAGGTTGCCAATCCACGGCCCCAAGTTGCGGTTCTCTTTCTGCCTTCCCCGCTGTCTTCCTCCTCCTCAAAGGGAACAGGTGAGTCTCAGTCCCAGGCATCCAGCATTTGAAGGACGAACTTCTGCCTCCCCTCTCACTCCCAAAGTCTTGCCACCCAAGCCAGGTTCCAATCACTTTTCTGAATTAAGACTCCCTACAATTATGATAAGTTTTAAAAACTGTAATAATAATATTGTGGTTATTTTCCAACAACAGCCAAAGGAAGTCCTTATCTCTCAGAGATGTGCACGGAAGTATTTACAGATAAAATTATGTCTGGAGTTTCCTTTAAAATTAATCCAGCAGCAGGAGAGAAAGGAAGGAGACCTAACAGCTGAGACATGGGATTACCATATACGATTCACTCTGCTTTTGTCTGTATTTTGTTTTGTTTTGTTTTGAATACTGGGAATTGGACTCAGGGCTTAGAACATGGTAGGCAAGCACTCTGATACTGTGTTAAATTCCTGGCTCTTTTATTTTGATAGTTTCTTGCTAAATTGAGTATGCTGGCTTTGAACTTGCAATCCTCCTGCCTCAGCCTCCCAAGCAGCTTGGATTACAGGCCTGTGCCACCATTTTAAAATAAAAAATCTTAGACACACAGGCCTGAGCACACACACGGACATACACATACACAGACAAAATGTTCACAGCTGAATCCTTTAAAGCACCAGCGCCAAGGAGCAGAAAAGCAGCTTCTAAAATATGCAAGGAGTCCTGAGTTCCCTCTGCCAGAGGTACCCCAAGTATGTCCCTTCTCAGCCTCTGCCACTCCAAATCCGGGAGCCAGGCAGAGAGGATCCAGCGGGTACCGAGTGTGAAACCCAGTGCTGCCCCTCAGTAGCTGCCATCTAAGCTTTGCGTTTCTCATCTGTTCAGCGGGGATAACACCTACTTCTCAAGGCTAGACTGTGAGGATGCTCCTAGATAAATTATGCAAAATGCTTAGCACAAGCCTGGCTCGTAGTAAGCCCTCGAGAAACATTCGTGGCATAATTACTATGATGTTACTATCAGTGGTTAGATCTCAGGTGTGACATGCCTGTGTGCTCCTCTGCACAACTCCCACTCACTGCGCCGCTGCTGGCACCTGGAGCAGTGCAGGTGCCACTCTGCAGCCCTTGTGGCATCTGAGGAGACACTTGTCCTCCTAGCTCCAGCCACCTCTTCCTCTCTATTCGAAACTCACAGCAGCTCTCGGGGGACTCGGCTCCCAGTACCTGACCGTCCTGGTTATTCCCCTCTGGACGCAGCACCGGGCTTCTTCGAAGTAGCAGCACCCTGGCTATGAGCCGTCTATGTGCTCCTGGAAGCCCACACCCTGGGCACCATTTGTGATGAATCCACCATGGACCAAACGGATGCCAGGTAGCCACATCCACACTCACATTTCATCCTCTGCACAGCCCTGGGTAGCAGGCAGTATCATCCCCACCTTGCAGATAGGAAGAGTGGTCCCGAATAGCCACAGACCTTGTCACTGGGCTAGAGAGGAGGCTAGTGTGGGGGCTGGTCAAACTGTCTTCCTTCACTTCTCTGGCCCCAGGCCAGGCTCCCCTTTTCTGGAAAGAGTTCTTCAGCAAGTGCTCCTGGCACCCCGATGGGGCTTTGGTCCCCAATCTGAATGCAATCAGGTATATCGCTGCTCTCATCTCATCACTCCAGCCCCTGGAAGATCATCCCAGTGAATCTCGAGCCTGTCACCCGTGGCATTAGCTGTCCCTGACAGCTCCTTGTCAGCTGCACGTCTTATGAGCACGCCTTCTGAGTCTTCTGCCTGTTTATGGATAGAAATGCTAAACAGGAGAGAGTCTGGGGCAGGGCCACGGGGACGGTACTGGAGACCCTTCTCCCAGCCTGACAGTAATCCCAGATCAACACTTTGGGAGAATAAGTCAATCTAATACTTATCATCCTTCTCTTCTCTTCCACAAGAGCCTTTATCAAACACCCCGACCTGTGCAGTCAAGACTCACCACGTTGTTAGAAGTTGCTGATCCAGTGTCTCTCCTACCGTTCCTTCTCCATCCCCAAGGAAATAAAATTTGCTTATTCTTCTTTGTTTTAGAAAACCGCATGCCCACAGAGCTAGGCCATGCTCAGGATTCGGATCGAATCATTCTCCTGCTAAAAATCCTCTTGAGGACTCTCATTACACACAGGATAAAGCCCAAACTCCTTTCTGATCCCCAGGACACTACACAAATTGGTCCCTTCTCTGTCTTCTCCCAGCCACATAGCTTTCATCTATGAAATGCCAAGATCATTACAACCCCTGGGCCTTTGCACTTCCTATGAAATGTTTCTCCACTCCACCCCTAGACTATCCCTTGACTGGCATATCATTTAGGCCTCCGTTCAAGTGTCATATTCTCAAAGAGGTCTTTCCCACTCAATTTTTTTTAAAGTCCCTCTCCTATTACCAAGCACCATCAGTATGTGTATTTTCTTCATTCATAATATGCATCGCTGTCATAGAGTATTGTGTCCTTTTTATATATTTACTTCCCACGGCAACATACACTCCAAGAAGGCAGGGATTCTACTTTGTTCACCGAATATGGCCTGATACATAACCCCAGCTCAGGAGGATTTGCTGCATCAACAAATGAATGGCCTCACTTGGCATCACCCTCATCCTTTGCCCTGGCACATACTCCTACTCCTCTCCCAAGCCAAAGACTGCTCTACTTTCTCCCACTGGCTTCACCCTATTCCATTCACTAGCTTTCCACCACCTATGCTGCCTCTGGCCTGGCAACCCTGGGAGCTGATCCTTCTTAGCCTGGTCCTAAGAGCTCAGCCTTTGCAAGGCAGTCCTATGGCAGACTCCGCTCAAAACTCACACTGACTTTGAGCAGTCACTTTGGGGCTCACAGAAAGATTCCCATGCCTCCCCGACAACTCTGCTGAGTTCAATAGGAAGCCTGAATTTCCTGGGATCTTATCTTTAACCATTTTTTTTTTTTCCTGAGAAATTTTCCTGGTCCTGGCACCTTTCCTGTGCCGTTTGCTTTCTCCTTTGAGTTGGTGAAAACTATAAAATCTATCCTATGCTATCCAATGAATCATAGAGGGAGTACAATCCAGCTCCTGGGCTCCCGACAAAGGAAACGAGTCAGAATTCATGGTTCCAGCTCCACGCTGCCACCTCTGCTTCGCCCACCTCCAGAAATGATCTGTATCTGTTGGTGTCTTTGTACTCAAATGCTGTGCGCTATTTCTGCATTTGCTGTGTACAGAGTTGTGTAAGCAATAAAGGCTATTGACTGGCTGGCACCCCTTCCCAGAACAAAGACTAAGCAAGCATGCTGTTAGCTCCCCCAGCAACAGTTCTGTGTACATGATAACACAGAGCAAAGATGAAAACTGCTATTCATCTGAGCCAAACAACAGAAAAATGCAAGCAGGAAATTGTGAGTGCCGGAGGAGGACACGAAAACAAGCATTTTCTTCCAGCTATGGCATTTTAGACCAGTGATAAACACAGAGCCAAGCCCGAGTGCCCTGGCCACATGGTTGATTAAAGAGTGAAGCGAGGTAAAAGTTACAGAGTCACATGGACCCTGGCTTGAAATGTGATCCATCTGCTGACGACTTCATGGCTTCAGGCTGGAGCTTAACTTCTCCATGTGTCTGCGTGGATGGGGCAGCACAGCATAGTCAAGAAGTCAGTTCCCAGAGGGAAGCGCGAACGAGATTCAAAGCCCCACCAAGTAATGGAGGCCAGCGAGCAGCCTGATGTCTAAGATTTAGGCTCTATTTCAAAGCTAGTAATTGGAGTTAGCATTTATTGCATACAGGCTAACAAGCCAGGCATGCTGCTGAGCCCTTACACACAAAACCCTCACCTTAATCATGCTTTCCTGTCCACATATCCTTTGGAAGTTACATCTTTTCTTGATTCAGTAAGGAGCAGAGGCTTGAAATGTGCTTGGGAGCTAGGGCTTAACCTCTCGTCTCTTGGGACTAGG